CAAATTACTCGAAGCTCCGTGAGGTATGTCCTCTGGACGAAGTTACGCCGTTTTACAAATGGGAACGATTTTCGAATCAGTTTCAGAAGGATAATCCGCTCCAATTTCATTCAAAGGTCATTAGGATGACAATCAGTTCACAACCTTTTACCGTTTGGATTCCAGCGCTTACACATCGCATAAGATAGGTGGTGCATAGAGACCGAACTTAGGGATAGGGTGAGTGTTGTAAGAGGCCATTTCCTGAAACGTCTTGCTTGGCCCTTTTGACGTCTGTGAAATGAGTCAAAATTATGCTAAAACTTTGGGAGGAAAACTATTTGGAACGTGTACAAGGAATGATGCTTGAGGATACGTTAGATAATCACTTTCATGAACGTCTGCGAGACTTAGATTTTTCGCAGAAAATTGTTTCTAGCACACCTCATTAGCGGAACGGATTGGTTTATAAAAAAACGCATCCTCCCATGCCAATCGCTTTAAAAAGTTACATAACTGCTTCAGGCCGAAGCAGTTACCGGACATGTCTCTGAGTTCTATGGCGGTAAGAACTGTAAGCTCTGTAAGCTCTCATGACTTGGCCTGAAGAATCACAAAAAATATTTCCATTCTGATACACAAGCACATATCAAAATGAAACATTCATAATGATTTTGAATTGCAGCCGAGCGTATGGCGCAATTTTCAAATGAGCATAGAATCTGTTTACTTCAATATTTTTTCAGAAATCCAAATGGATTTGTAATCTGCGAGACAGCTAGTTTCAGAAAACTACCACTTTTATGCAGTATCTTCAAAACTGTTTAGTTATGGGGTAGAGAATTAAGAATTCACAGAAATGCGCACTTCTTCATTTGAAAGGTTGTAATTTCTTCAAATAAGAAAGTGTGAGAAGTAAGAAAATTTGAAACTCAGACTGTTTTCTTTCTAAAAAGTACTCAAACTTTTGCAAAGTCTCTTTTCTTCAAAAAATCGCCCCGTTGGACCGTTTTTTCACAACCGGTTTTTTGGCTTTCAATGACTATAACTTTCTTCAAATTCAACCTTTTGCAATTCTTGTCCCCTGGGTAAACTAGAAGGTTAGAGCTTTCTAACGAATACTTGAACTCTTCAAAGTTGATGGAGTCAAAAAATCGCCCCGTTGGACCGTTTTGGGGAAATCGCGGACCGATTTTTTGCAGAGCGCTGGTTTTTTGGCTTTGAACTGTTATAACTTTCTTCAGATTCAACTTTTTGCAATTCTTGTCCCCTGGAAGAAACTAGAAGGTTAGAGCTTTCTAATGAATGCTTGAACTTGTTTCCAAAATGACCCGCTCAAAAATCGTCCCGTCGGACCTTTCCCTATGAATTTTAAAACTACTCTCCTGAAAACAAGAATTTTCAACACTCGCAGCTCTCTTTGAACTCAATTTTATGGGGAATAATGATACCATGACATCGCACAAGCTTTGTGCTTCATAAAAACTAAACCTTTTCAGGAAGTCGCCGACAGGCAAATATTTTTTCCAAACTTTTCTTGTAAGCCCTTTGTTGTCTAGCTTGGTGGTCACTTTTTACTAACTCAGGTCCAGTTTGAGGACTTGACTGGATCTCCTTGAAAGCTAAGTTGTGTATGTGAACAGTTAAATTTGGGGTATATAGGCAGTCCTGCAGTAGTAACTTCTGCTCTGAGGCGCGCCATGCACTAGCTTGTGGTTAATCGTTAGAAGAGCCCTCAAAAGTTATACCCCTATCTTCTGTCGCGAAAGCAAAGGTTTCGATTCTAATCATTTAAGCCCACAGCTGCGAGCTTTACCGCATCTGTGAGGGTTGAGGACTCCATGGAACGTTTTTGAATGTCACTTTGGAGAATTACTTTTCCGACAGTCTTGAATAGTGGTTACATACGAATAGACCAATTTTGCTAGATGGATCTCTCAAGGGAGCTCATCATTGACTTATGGTCAAGGTTACACTCCGATGACTTATAGTATTCTGTGGCCAGGAATTGTACTCCCGCGGAGGTGATCTCGAGTTTTCGCCTAATTCAGAATATTAGGTCATAATTTTAAAGTTCGAGAACAGTTCCTGTAGCTCGCAATGTGGATCCAATGATACACTTGCATACCTTCCTCTTCAACAAATATGACAAAATGTAACAGATAATGGAACATTGCGCTTATTCTAGTGTATGCTCGAATGTTGAACCGTCCATAAAGCACTGTACGCAAGAAAGCGAATCGAAAACATCAAAAAACAAACACCCACGCACCAAGTGTTTTTGATTTCATTAAGGAGATTAAAACTACTTGCTTGTGCACCTCTACACTATGGAGCTGCACCATTGCGGCATGGCTGCCCTTGGTATCATGGAGTTGTATTTGCACCACTATTGCATACCTGGCAGAGTTCGATGCTGATCGATGATGATGATCGATCGATGATCATTCGAAGTTCGATGAATTCATTTGGAAAATCAGGATTCAATTATGCTTTTAACACATGAAAACCGGCATGCAAATTACCTATTTAACTGCTTCTCCATTTAAAGGAATCCTTCGCGGAAAATTCTTGCATTCTTTCTCAACATGAATGTGTCAGTTGTGATCACTGGAAACAGCACACAAGTTTCACGCATGAAGATTCGGTTTCCGAAGAGAAACAAACGTACAAAAACTACACGTCTATGGACATCGAAGGTAAAAGGCGCGGAGCCAAAGGCGGGGCATGGGAAAGAAGTCCTCCTTGGGGGTTGCCACATCAGGCGACGCAATGAAAGAATCGAGTTAAAGCGTGCGGGGGTCTTGGAGTGTTAGAGACAGAGTCATCGATTTAGAATATGGATGGAATCGGAAGGCGGGAGATGTGCATGTCAAATAGTCAAAAAGGGCCAGAAGAGTTTCTTAGGAAGGCACTAATAAGAACAAAGTGGCAAGCGATTTCCCGTCGCCAGCATTTGTGACAGATGTGCGGCGGTACTTTGAACGCGTAGCAGCCCTGTCGGCTTTTCCGAACAAAAAACAAATTTTCTGTTCTTTTCATTGTTATCGTGGATGATGAATCTCAAGCCAGTGATTCAGGGCTGAAATGATATAGGATCATGGTTTTCCTTCAAGGTTCCATAGAAACTGGAAACCACTTCCTGGTGCACTGTGTGCGATTTTACTTGTGTATTCTTCGGTAACCGATTGGTTTCACTTCTTTCTGATTCTGTCATCAACTAGTCTCTATTGAACAATATGGTGAAGTCCACGCATTTCGACGCTGAGCGTGACTCGCCCTGCCCCTTTTCCTACGAATTCTGTTTTTCCCAAGCAGTGTGTTGCTTCGTGCGTATCCATATTCGTATTGAATACTTCGCCTTACATTTCCCTTACAAGAAGAATGATGGTTTTTTGTCAGGTGAATTCAACCAGATGAGAGCCGCACGTGATTTGCCAGCGCACACATCTCGTGAGAGTCTTGAAGCTTCAATATTGTTTCTAGATGGTGACACTGCGGAGACGGTACGTTGATTGTTTTTTCTTGCTTCCTGTCTAACTTCGCCGAGGAGTTCCAGTGGCTTAGTACATTCTCAGTACACACGGAAGAAAACCAAACACCTTTGTGACGAACGGTTCTGACGCAAGCGTTTTTGGAGCAAATCATGCTAATCCGCTTGGTGGCTCAGAACCGTCAGTTCTTCGAAACAATCTGAAATAGCAATGGTTGCACAAAATATTTTAAGCCCTATCACAAGATACGGGGCATTGTGGTGGCGGTGCACCTAAGTGCGCAAAACTTGTGCAAGGAACACGGAACTACGACTTATTAGATTGTCTCAAAAGTTCGTGCGTATTTTTTTGGATCTCATGCTACATGCTCATTTTGCCTTTTCTAACTAGGCTCACGTAGGCTGTGGAAGGGGCACAACGTGTAACAATTTATACCCGATCAACCTCATCCTAACCGCAGCTTCGGGTTCGCTATGAGAAAAGAAATGAGCCGTTTTTTTCTCACTTTGATTCATGCATTCGTTTTTTCTGCAAAGCCACAAATCGATCAAAGCCGGAAGTAACATCTGTTTTGCGATACACGTCCTTGCCTTTGACGGGCAGGTACCAGAATGGTTTGATCTCCGTCGCTCAGGAGATTACAGCCTGGAGGAAAACTCACTCAACTCCAGGAAAGCCATCGGTGTCGGATTTGGACAGGCTGCGCTCTCCCACTGAAGCCAATTCGCAAGGGCTAACCTACCATCCATCCATCCCTGACGTTTCGGATGCACAGTTCATGGAGGCTTTCGCTCCTTCGTAAAGGGACTGCCAAAGATTGCCTCACAAATTGACCACTGTCAGGAGTGCGACACGAGTTTGGTCCATGAAATGCTTTCTACTTCACCCGTGCCACTAGCTAAACAAAGCCGCTACAGCAGTTAAGATGTGGAGCTTCCGTGGCAACAACACTGCCAAAACAGCACATTGGCTGCGCATCGAGCAGACAGAGAATATAAAATTTACGAACTCACTTTCCATACAAGTCAGTGCACCTGCGCTTTTCTCGGAGCGTACTCAAGTTACACACCAGAGAATTCACCCCCTGCCCCCCTCCCTCATAATGCGGTCAAGTCAGTCAAGTCTTAGTGTGATCAATGACAGCGAAATACTCTGGCAACTATCAAACGCAAAAGTACTTCGGCTCCATGTCATTCGAAACCACACGTTTCGAAAATGACACGATTCTAGATATTGAAGCTTGGCTGAAAAGTCCTATCATATCCACCGTGCAGCGGAGATCAGCCTCGTCCAACAGCCTGCCCTTTTTCTCAGGAATCTTCTCGCATACAAAAAAAAGCGATTTCCCCAAGCACCTCGAGATCAATCTCACTGCCTTTTTCAGCTCATAGCTGCCAGCCTTTTGGGAGTTAACCATTCTGCTTGGTCGTTGGCAACAAGCCACTAACAGTGATGGCGTATATATTGATGATAGATAATGCTTGTGCTCGAAACAATTAGGCTCGAAAAGGAGTTGAAAATACGCACGACTTTTGAGACAACCTAATAATTTTCCTGAGCGGCTCTCGATGTCAAAAAAAAGTCTGAAGGAGCCCCAGCGCCACCTCCTTTGACACCAATTTTTTGGCAGAAAGCTACTCATATGACTTGCAGATGGTCCTGGCAGTAGAATTATGGCCGGCATTCATTTCACTATAGCCGTGATGAAAACAGGCACTCGATTGCGCACTATGACTGGACAACAAGCATTAAGGTATATCGGCCTTAATTTTTGCACCGATAATCCTCTTTCCCGACCCAAGGATTTCACGAGCCAAACACCCTTGTCCAATGCGTGACATGTCAATTCCTTTTTTGTCTTCCAGAAGGCCCCTCGGGAGAAATGGAAAATAGTTCCACGTTCAATGCATGTCTCTCTATATAATGCGCAATACCGTATTGAAAAAGCTGAGCGTGCCTGAAAGACCTTCCTGGTAAGCCTTAGGGGTGTAGGTGTGAGCCTTTAAGATGCATGAGCATTTTTCTTTTCCCTGGAGTCTGCCCGCTCCTGGCTTAGCGCTAGAGAATGCCCCGTATCTCGCGATACCGCTTACTTTACAATTGCTCTGAATTTTCTATGAAATTCTGTCACTTTTTGGCATAATTACCTATTATTATTCCACTGGATTACAATAGCACCAATGATTTGAATCATCAAAGTTTTCATCTCATTTCAATCAACCTCAGTTTTCAGAGCAGCGAGTTGTGTATGTCGGACGAGAATCTCGAAGGCTATTCGACACCCACTGGAAGCTCGCCACAACTGGATTCCAAGTGAGTTTCTCGTTCTTTTCTACTACCGCCCTCTCCTCTCCCGCCTCTATCTGAACCATCAGCCTCATCAAACAAACCTACTTCATCGCTTACGCACTTACCTGCCCTTTGGATTTTTACATGAAAATTGAGAATTAAGCAAATGTTGTTGCAGTACTGTTGCCAGAATGCTTCTTTTTTGACACTTATGATCAATTATTTTTTAATCAAGCAAAGCGAAGACGGCAGGCGACCCCGCACCACACGGGCCGGGATATCAAATACCGAAACGAATCACGCTCAGATCAATCAAAGCTCTAATATTTTCTGAATCGTTCATTTGGATCAAGCCCAGTTGGATGCGCGCTGACGTGCGTGCGTGCCTTCCTTTACTTAAGTTTGGACCAAACACTTCTCAAAATTTTCGACTGAGAGGCGAAGTTGTGGCGCATAGTAACAGCAACAATATCTTCTTCGATCCTTTGATTATTTTTCGATCTCCTTCGCAATTCGTTGCGCCTATTTTGCATTATTTTTAAAAATCTTAGAGGAATATTTTTTCGTGGTTTCCATTTCAGAACACTGCGTAGTGAGGAGGTGACAGTCTTCGTTACCATTCGCATTGTGTAAATATTCCCTTTCCCGACCGTTGCTTGCGAAAATATAGGAGTTGTATGGTCTCCCGGTAGAACCGAAATATTTTCTAACATCTCAATGCACGCGCTGTGGTTGACGAGTGTAAGTGCTAGATCATTTCAGCTGTTCAAAACCTTCCAAAGTTCCAATTTCAAGAACGATTCATACACGTCCATCAGTGCAATACTGGTCCAACAGTGCCAATCAGGAAAACTGGAAATTCTATTGAAATTATTCTTTCAAACAGTACACGTCTGCGTGGTTTTTTTTACTCTTTCGCGTTAATTCATTGGCATTTAGTGGCAATCTCCAGTCCGACATATACGGTTACTTTTGCGCCAATCACTGTACGAGTTCTGCCTCACTTCTAGCACGTCCTCCAGAAGAATCTGGCCAGAGCAGAAGGTATTCAAAAAGTAGGAACTCCTATCTAGAATTATGTTTGAAGCATTGCTGGCACGCATGCTCGTAAAACAATCATGCTGGGATCGTAACATCTGCTGGGAACTGGTGTAGAAAGTAGGACAAACACTTGAAAATCTTTTTCACTTACGCTGTCTCAGCAACATCTGCTCTTTCGCTCTCATCAATAGAGAAGAGAGAGACAAAATTCCATCGAAATGAACCCGTCATTCAAATGGGCTGCCTGTCATATTAGCCAAATTACGGAAAAACTGGGAAAATTGAGGTCATACCACATTTTTGTGCCCTTGTGAAGGAATCGGAACGATTTCAGTAAAAGCCAATCTAATGGCGCAGTGAATTTGTTTGGTGATGTAACACAGTAAACTTTATTAGCACAACTGTGCTGGTTGGAAGGGCACATGGCAGGAAGACACAATTTTTCAATGTCCGAAAAATTGGGAAAGCAGGGCCGCAGGATGCCGATTTTGGATTTCCTTCAGCACAACTGCAGTAGTTGGAAGGGTACATAGCAGGCAGACCCATGTTTTCAGTAATGACAGTAACGGAAAGGTACCAATCGTCTATAGCTACTAAAAATACCGCTGAAAGTAATCTAGGAAGAATAACAAGAATGCTGATTTGGCACTATCGCTCCCAGCCGGGATCCGTACCCGGATCTCTTGCCTTGCGGGCAATTGTACTACCAGTTAGAATCTGGAAGTAAATTGTGGTACAAATCACTTGTTTTGTTCTTATTTTCCTTTTGATTTGTTTCATTATTTTTGTTTTCATTGAAATATTCAGTTTTTTTATTACAATTTTCATTCATTCCCTAACCTGTTGAAATTTTACATTTTTCCGAGGAACTCTACCGTTTCCTCCCTGCCCCTGACTTATTTTCTGTGATCTGTTGGGAATAGAAATCGCTCATCAATAGTAAGTTTCTGGAAGTTCTATCGCCGCTCTTTCGCTAAGATGTTACGATGTTAACGCTGGCTGCGTTATCGCCTGATACCCGGCACCACCCTCGCCTCGCCGCCGTCTCCCTCCTTTCTTTGTGGCGTTCGTTCTTTGTTCCCTTCAAGTACCCGTTCGTTCGTAAAACGCGCAAACAGCACATTTGAATCACCATATAGGGTGTTTCATCAAGGCGATACTTAAGTTTTCTTGTGATAAGGTTTAGTTTCTACTCATTTCTTTGAATTTTTCGCTGAATCACGCTTTAACGCAAAAAGTAATATTGAAAATTAGAACGTAAAAGAATTGATCAAAAGTGAGTAATCGTTCTCCTTACCTCCTGGTAACGCCTTAATACCTACGACACACCCTTCCTTTATTCGCAACTTGCCTAAGTGCTGATTTCCCTCGATCAAACTTGTGAGTTGGGCCCTTGTCTAGTAAACTTAAGAGATTCGCGCAAGCAGAGTTGTCGAGGTAGAACTAAACACTACGCTCTATATTGAAATCCGCTGTAGAGTAAGCGAAAAATTATATGTGCCAGCATAATCAGATAAGGGTGCTCGGTGAAGTGGGCGGAACAGCTGGTGCTACTTTGTTGAACATTTGGGTTGTGTACCTAGTTCGTCCTCATCACTACCATTTCTAATTTCAGCCGGACGCCATCTCGCGATCGCCACCACATTTTGAATCGCCTCAATCGAACAAAGAACGATACTTCCTCGATGGTTTGAGCTCTTCATTCTGATATTCTATGCGTTCAGTCATGTTTGAATCTCTAGAAGTGTCCTGTTATTGAACTCTTTCTACATACTCTAGTGCGATTCCCAATATTACAATCGCGTCCGACGCGTTTCGTCCTGAAAACGTGTTTCAACACTCGACGACCACACCTTTTTGTGGGCGTCTCGACCACAAATCACTGCGCATGGTTTGTCATCGCTGGCCATGAATGACCATTTCTTCTAAGTAAAGTGTTGAGAGAAAATCCTCCAACACTTTCACAACAGTAATGCCTCACCGCAGGAACCGCCTTCTTTTGTTGATCATGTCATTCATTTTGTTGTACAAATAAGTGCTACCTCACCTTCACGGTTGTGCATGCATTTCAGGAAAGTCATACAATGGCTAACGTCGATATGCCACAGGATTCAAAGCTACAGAAATCTCTCATCGAGGAAAATCGAGTGTTAAAAGCCCAAATCAAAGAGATCGTTAACGGCTCACGTGTTGTGAGTGAACAGCTCCTTTGATTTAATCAGAGCGTCATCAATTTTGCTTGCTGCCTAGCGATAACGTGACTCATACTATTCCTATCAATGAGTTCGTTTTCCAAAGTACTAACCGCTAGTTTCCAATACTTCAAGGAAGGGCAGTCCCTGAACCGATTATTATTGTTAAGTATTACACAATACTAAGTTTTTTGGCTGACTCGAACTTTCTCAGGACAGCGGCTTGGAATAATTATGAATTCATCCTATATGATACAGTCACAAGACTTCTAACAACCGAAGGGTAAGGGTTATACTCCTTTCAAAAAACGAGAAAGCGTCGGGTGCAGACCATACACCACAAGTGACGACGGCCTCCACAAAATGTAAATGTTTTCTGCCAATGAAATGATTAGCCTGTTGCAGTTGTATTCTATCAGTTGTCACTAATTACAACTATCATTTACCAAAATCAGCTATCACTATGAACCACTACTAACCAGATTTACTTGGAGGCCGTCGTCACTTGTGGTGTATGGTCTGCACCCTCATTCTCGTTTTTGAAAGGGAGGGTAGTTGGAAGCATATTTTTGGTATTGCTAATACTAGCCCTCTATAGGAACTTGAGAACGCAGAGATGTTGTGATGGTGCGCATGTGTAATAGCTCCCAGACAACACTGTAAAACGCTGAATTGCATATTCTCACGGTTGACGGTCGACGGACTACTTGAACTCAGCCCTTTAAACCGCCTCTGCGCTCTCTCGCGGGTCCCTCTCCTCTCCAAGGCTTAGTCCTAGGGCATTCACCCGTTCTCTAATCGTCTGTGCTCTAGCCATCGCGGCAGGACCATTGAGGAAAAATCAAGTAGTCCGTAAACCCACGGTTGACAGATGTCATAAGATGATATGAAATAATTTTAGGAAGTCATCGAGAATTTACTACGAGAGAACGAGAAGCTTCAAGAAGAACTGAAGGAGGCGAAGTCCTACGTGGATCAAGTGGATGTTGAAGCAGAACAGGTGCAGTTTGTTCATTAGTGAAAAATTTTCAAATTGTGCATCGCGTGTTCCTGCATCAACAGGAACGAGTTGTTACGGCATGATGAGTCACGCTGTTTCGCTTCGCACTACAACGTGAATCAACGTACACATCAGTCCTAAAAGTTTGAAAATTCGCGCAATAATGGGAATTCGCCTTTGCAATAGTTCCGTCACGAGGCGTGTCATTTCTGTGTTTTATTAAATTGGTACAAACTGCTGAGATGAGCCAGCTAGGCTCTCAAGACTGCTAGTCGAGATTTCAAAGAGACCTATTCAGTGCACCATGCAATCGAGTCAAATTCTGTGAAGGTAAACGGATGTGTACATGGCGCATTCAATATTACTTACATAGGCTGGTCTGTAAAATTAAACTGTTTAACATCTATCGGAACATTTCGAAAGTGTGAAAGGTTTCATCTCATTTTCACGTGCTCAATGAATGACCTATAGCCCATGTACTTATTATCAAATTCTGACGTATTACCTTCTGAATTTGAAACCAGTTTACGGCCGGAGTATTGAACTTCACGCCATTCTCTTAAGCGTTAGAGGGTATTTCGTCGATGTTGGAGAGGATAGCGGTAAAAGCTCTCCCACTCGACGATGCCCTAAACTCTGTGGCCTACTTGATTGTAGCTACGTATTTCTCAGTGGCCCCCAGAGTCAATTTGTGGTGAAACCTACACGCGGGGAAAGAAGAAAGAAGAAGTCATTCCACTCATGCCCACATCGTACCGTGCTAACCTATGGGTCAAGTCGAGGCGTTGAGGAAAATTTGGAAATACGACCCCCCCCCCCCACACCCTCCCGCCGGAGGCCGAAGTCCATGAAACAACCCTCTTCAAAAGCCGAACTATGAAAAGGTTGAAAAGCTTGTTTGATTCTCCCCCAAAAGTGCTCATAAATGCCCTGCTACCCCACCGCCCACAAAAAAATTCGCTTAAGAATTAAAAAAGTGAAAAAGTCAAAGAATAATCATTATTGATGAGTCCTACCAAACGAGCAAACGAGAAACAGACCAGAAAACGACAAACTAGCCACAACATATCTGCACTCACCTATAGCATTGTAAATAATCCTTCTTTATTATCTTCCTCTCACAAGATTTCCAAATCTAGTACTATACACACAGATGATGGTCTCAATTATGCTACGCTATCCCTTCATTGAGAAGAACTTTACTCGCTTTCGCCCAGCTTGATGTTAAACTGGACTTTGGCGTCAACGCCGACATGAGCAGCTCTATAATACATGAAAACTTAGAAGTCAATATATTCAGATTATGTTTCTAATTTCTATCAAATATACGCTTTGAAAATCTGAAATGCAATTATGGACAGTTTTATGTGCAGACCTTATTCTAATTCACAGATATTCGAAATGTTACAAATAGTTATAATAGTAAAGTACAATTAGATCAAATTAACAATGAAAATATATGAGCCGACCCAGATATCTATCATACTCTTCCGAGCAATAAACTGCCTCATTTCCAATCCAACTTTCAAAAAGATTCATAACGTCATATGCCAAACTTAGAAAATTTCAATCTTAACGCCAAAAGGCCGTTGCTAAAGCAGCTTCATCGAATCCATGTATTCAAATGGCTCATACGTGAGATTTCTGCAATATTATACGAGCTAAAATATGTCGAATGAGGCGAGGCTTATTTTTCTTTTCTCTATCCGCCATAATCCGAGCTTCCACTACGCATTACCTATCCAAAAAGTTGAATAACCTCCTCAGAAACTAGAAGATTTTGCTCTCACTACCATTGCTTGCTAGAACTGGCTCCACAACGACCAACGAGTAGTCAAAACGCACGTTGAGTTTCGCAAGTACTCTGCCGAAAGCACTCTCTCGTACATTGCCACTTAGTTAATAGGCTTGATATCCTTTCAAGGGCGATTATGTACTAAAGTAAGAGCAAATATGGAATCATTGCTTTTCTCTCTCATTAAAAGTGATTGATTAGCGTTTCTCAACTTTAAAGGTTACATGTTTATAAATTTAACCCTGAAGAGTCCGTTAACGCAATGTTGAATGGTGTACACCTCCCTGTAAATGCGCACGGACACTTTCAGAATTCTCTCGATTGTTCCTGAATTGAGGTTGTTTGTCCAAGGAGCCGTAGTTCAAGCGCGCGCAACAACTAGACCCTTTCTCGGATGCGCCGTGTACCTCACATCCCTTCAGATTCGGGGTCTTACTTGAAAGATGAAATATCTCTTGGAAAGCGTGCGAAATTCAGATTCTTTAACTTGTGTGGTGATAAAACACTGAAGTAACTAAGAATTACCGGACGCCTCAGAATCACGAAAATTTTGTGTGGGTGAAATATCATTTTCATTGGAAATCCTCTGGCCTGGCATCGACTCATCCTTGATATTTGTCTTCCGACGGTGATGATCCCACTGCATCAAAATGGCTCGATCTCTTCCACCCAGCGGGCCGAATACGACCCCCCCCCTGCGACGTGTCGAGGATTCCTCAACGCACGCTTGACTGCGGACATCGAAGCTTTGGCTGCATTGAGAGCAGAAAACATTTGTTGGATTATTGAGAGTGCAATGAAAAGGTATTTTATATATAACACGTGTCTAATTTCGCATGAAGGAAGGGAGATTAAGAAAAGCCATTTCTACTCGCTGGCAGCGTGAATAAAGGTCGAGGAATTCCTCGACCATGGCACTTTACTGTGCAAGAGCAGTCCGAGAGTGAATATACGCGTGGAGAGCAGAGACGGCTCGTGTGGTGGCGAGAGTGATTATCCACGCGGAAGAGCGTGAGTGAACAGGCGAAAGCACTCGAGGAGCCGTTACCGTCTCCTCGACCGCTCTTCATCCTGCTCGCTGGAACCTCTCATTTTCATTGTTCCGCTGTTCAGTCTTCGATAAGCTATGGCAACCATGGATAGCTTTCAGCACTTACTACGGCTCCAATGAGACAGGGAATAATGACAACGTCATTATGTGGCAACAATTATGAAGACCAGAACTGCTACGAGAGTTTACTAATCAAGTTGTGAGCGGTCAAACCTCGGAGGAAATGCAGCGCCAGTATAGGAGGCTAGCTGAGTCTTCTTAGATTTTCGGAAATCCAACCAGTTTGGCTACCTGAACACGAATATGACATTCACTGTTAACACACCTAGCCCATCTTGGCGCAACGAATGAATTTTTTGCTGCCTTTCGTGGCAACTTTGACTATTACGTTGCTGTATAGTTCAAGTAGCAGTTTTGGTGTCCATATCTGTCAGTAGTGTTCTCGCCCTCATCGATTTACCCTCCCCTTCAAAAAGCGAGAAAGTGTCGGGTGCAGACCATGCACCACAAGTGACGACGGCCTTCACAAAATGTTAATGTTTTCTGCCAATGAAATGATTAGCCTGTTGCAGTTGTATTCTATCAATTGTCACTAATTACAACTATCATTTACCAGAAATCAGCTATCACTATGAACAACTTCTAACCAGATTTACTTGGAGGCCGTCGTCAGTTGTGGTGTTTGGTCTGCACCCGACACTTTCTCGCTTTTTGAAGGGGAGGTTACCTAGGTCTCCACTCAAAATCCACGGGAAGTTGAAAGCGTTCCCTGGTGGATTATCAATTAGAAAGTGTTATCACCTTCACTCAACACAATCAGTAAATGCATATTTGCAGCAATACACCGAGTTATCGTCCGAGATAACCGAACTGTGCGACTTGATCGAAAAAAAGGACAACGACATCAAAGCACTGAAAGAGAAACTTTCTGAAGTGAATAAATTGGTTGAAAAGAACAGCGATATCGTTGAACAACAAAAGCAAAACGTTCAACGGCAGACTGGAGTGATCGAATCACTCAGGTAAGATTGAATTTTGTCTTGTGAATCTTACAAGTTGATCTTCAATGGTTCCAAAAAATATACTGATAATTGTTCTAGGGATGATCTTGACAGTGAAAAGGAAAAGAATACCTTGCTTGTAAAGGAAAAGGAGAAACTTCAAGATGAGTTAAATTCAGTCAAGAAGTTGATCGAATCAGAGAAGGACGACGCGCTTGCAAAGGTTAGCATGTCTTGTGACACTATTTTGGTTGACTGGGAATGAACCCAAAGCGGACTATTTTGAAATAGCGCGTTTTTTTTTGGAATTTTTTTTCTTCTGAGGAGGGACGGTCGGTTCTACCGATTGTATGTGATCATTTGTTTATGATTTTTGAAATTTTCGTTTTAGGACGTTTTATTAGCTATAGAATTGGAAGATATGCAACGAGAACTTGAAAAGCAGAAGGAGATATTAGCTACCACAAGCATTGCTCAAATAGTTGAACGAGTAAGTTTCATTCAAAGTAAAGCTGCTTTCTAAGGTGTATAGACCTTCGTGGACGTTTAACGTTAAGCTCAGATAATGAGCAACGCAAATCAGAATGGATTAATAAGTGCGAAGAGGACTGTTAATGAGGAAAAAACAAAAAGAAAAGAGAAAGAAAAGAAAGAAGGAAAGAAAAAGCTGAAATTTCTCTTGTGAGGTTGACTGTGGTACGACGGAGAGAAACTGCGTTGCGCGAAGAGGGAAAACGCCCAGGCAGGGTGAATATCGCTTGAGGATTCCTCAACGGCACGTCGAGGATTCTCTGCCCGATCAGACACGATCTCTCGCGCGGACATTCACACTCGCCATGGGCGTGCCGTCTGTGCTCTCCGCGCGGATGTTCACTCTCGGCACTACTCTCGCATGGTAGAGAGCTATGGTCGAGGAAATTCCTCGACCGTTATTCACCCTGCGCCCAGGTATACCGTGCACGAGGATACGCAGACGCCACGTATGCTGCTTTTGATGAGAATCTGATCGCAGAGGTCAAGCGGAGGCATTAGCTCCCTTTTTGAGCACTCTTAGAGGCATCCCCGAGATAAAACTGAAGTACAAGGGCGCTTTGTAGTGATGAGCTGAGCTGCGGAATGAACTGAAAGTGGAAAGGAAAGCAAGAGAAATCATTGGAAACGCTGAAATTAAGGCCTTAACCTTCAGTAAGGTCGGATGTGGTACGATGGCGAGACAGGGCGATCAAAGAAGACAAAACACGCGAGAGACACGCCGTTCGAGAGAGCACGCTGATCTCTACATCAATCGCGGTGGGTGGGGGAGCGTTGCAACGGGGGTCGATGGTTGCAGGCCCGTAAGGATTAGCGCCCTAATCGCGCAATTTTGCGACAAAGCTGGATGATCCATATAGGTAAGGACCTTACAATTTCTTCGCGGTACCCTTTTAGGTCGGGCTAATCCGGGGCATACCTTCAAACCGTGACAGTACAAAAATTCCCATGGGTGTCTGAAAGCCTATGAAGGGCAGAAACTATAGTGTGGACCACAATGGGGAGAGCAAAGAGTTTTGTTGTTTGTTTGCTACCACTAGCTCTGCCCCCCTCTGGCTACATATTAGTTTTTTTTTGAAAGTGCAGTTTTTGTTCCCAAACGAGTATTAGATCGGTCCTCTTATAAAGATTTCTGGGGCATAAATTGAGGTGTATAGACTGGAGCGAGACTGTAACAATAGGATATGCCTATTTGAGGAAGACCGTTGAGTTTTAAACGCCTGTGTAGGGACATCTTACACATTCACACTATGATTTGATGTGCTACGAATTCTAAACAGTTTTTGAGGAGCCGCGACTGGATGCGGTTTCTGGTAGAAGTGCGACGAAAGTGCTAACAGAAAGTGCATACACACGCCCTGCACTTTCTAGTTGGCGAGTCTACCACAGCGATGGTCCACGGCAAACGGGAACTCGACACATTTGCCCTCAATTTTACTTGTCTGAAAAGTGTTTAGCTCCGTCAAGAGATAGCGTCCGAAGGTAAGCGCCAAGCTGTCTTAGAGAGAGAACATATTTTTCGACGCGAACGCAGTAAGAGCTTTAATGATCCCTTCAAGCTGATTTAATACCAATGGTAACCACAGAACTTTATTGTATGTTTTTAGTATTTATTTGGAATAGTCATAAAGTCTCTTATGAAGGGCGGAAGTGGTGTAGTGACAAGTGGCGCGCTCACCACGCGAGCGGTCCGGGATCAAATCCTGGGTCGTGAGTCGCCCGGGCCAACCAAGCCTTCCATCCCTCCGGGGTCGGTTAATTGGTACCAGACTTGTCTGGGAGGATAAAAAACACTGACTTGAACATCGGCTGGCCCCCGCAAGTCATTGTATAGGCCACATCGCATTCAAATGCCACTGCGAATGTACAAATGGAAGTAGAATGCGTGCCGCATCCCAAAAGGGATTGATCAACGGCAAATGCTTTATCCTTTATCCTTTTTATTTATCTTTTCCACTTTTTTCAATAAGTTCACGCAGAAAATTTTATTTCTTCTAATCGGATAACGGATATTTAGATGATAGTATGGATAGTATGCAGAATGTGAACTTACACAAATATTTGATTTAGTGGGCGGGCGAGTTCTGAGTCTGAGAAAATGAAGTGAGGGAACGTGACGTCCTGATCCATGCTCAGCAGAGCGTGATTAACGACCTCAAGCGAAGCATAAGGGAAAACTGCAGTGAGTTCTATTTTACATTAGAACGATCTTGATAGCGACATGGTCTTTAAGATTTCTTTGATGAATGAATGAGGTTGTATTTGACTTTGCAGAAATGCGGGAGAACATGAGAAGGCAGGGGATGGCAACACGTCACGGACAAGTTCATCGGGGTTGTATTTGCTTAAAAGAGTATTGTATTTCTGGTCAACATGGGATGAGAGTATTTTCAGGTTAACATGGGATGAGAAAACTTTCTGGTCTAAATGGGATGATAAAGTCTTGAGTTTTTTGAAGTGAAAGAAATTCCAAGAAACTTGAGATAGACTTCGACCCTACAATACAGTCAGCTCTTTTGAAGCCTGTAAGCTCGCCTACGCTTCAAAAATAACCTCTTAAGTGGTGGGGCAGTAGGAAACACACGTGATCTTTCCCAAATTTGACCAACACCCGTGCTTATTTTTGGCAAGGAGCATTTTGAGCTTTCTTAGGGTTTTCAGAAATTCCTCTGGTCATTAGAAGACCGAAATGTAATCAAGACTCTTCCACTGTTGTATTTACTTCCTAAATCTGACGCTTCTGGAGTAAAGAGGCAAAGATGGTAGCAGAATAATTGAGTGATTTGTCAAAGCCTACGTTTCCAAGCACTTGAGGCCGAATAAGAAGGCCGAATGTATATTTGACCCATGGAAGCTAGGGATCTTTTCGTGGAGGTTGAACGCTTGCTTAGATCAGCAATAACAAGCTTAGTACGTGCTCTGAAGGCCGCACTTACAAGGGAGGTCGTTCAGGGTGTGCCAAGCTTTTTTCAGTAACGGGTCCCTTGCTGATATAGGGGCACATGCGGGAACCACAGAATGGTTCATTTTTCCTGAACGGCCCTCTGAATACCAGAAAAGGGGTCCCTAGTTCGATTCCTCGTGGTGACAAATTTTTGCATTTCGAGTTGACGTTTCAAAATTCGCGCAAAATGGAGTTAGCATGAATAATTAGTACCATATTCATGATTAGGACCGTCAGTAACCCTTACAAATAGACTTTGATTAAAAACTGGTGAAAAGGTGTGACACCACAGTGGGGCCACTTTGGTGTCACACCTTTTTCACCAGTTTTTTAATCAAAGTCTATTTGTAAGGGTTACTGACGGTCCTAATCATGATATGGTACTAATTATTCATGCTAACTCCATTTTGCGCGAATTTTGGAAACGTCAACTCGAAATGCAAAAATTTGTCACCACGAGGAATCGAACTAGGGACCCCTTTTCTGGTATTCAGAGGGCCGTTCAGGAAAAATGAACCATGGTTCTGTGGTTCCCACATGTGCCCCTATATCATGCAAGAAACCATTTTGAAAAAGCTTGGCACACCCTGAACGACCTCCTTGTTAGCGAGATGAAGCCTGAAAATCCGGTGCTGCATTGATCTGAAGCAAGCACCAATATCTTCAAATAAAGCTTTTCAAATTCACCATTTACGAGAACGAAGATATTTTCCTTCATCACGGATTGTTATTTTTAGACTTCCTTCATAGTGGTGCAAGTAGTTCGGACTCGTTCCACACACCTGATAACAGTCCTTCTTCACGGTTTTCCGTTGTGAAGTATATCTTAAGGTGAGCGAAGTTCAATGCCACGTGCCACGATTACTAGTTTCATAGTGAATTTCTTTTCCAGTGATGTCAACAGTCAATTGGCGAACGTGTACGCGATTGCCCGTGTCCTTGATCTCTCGTCCCAAGAACTTGACTATCTTGAAAAAAGTCTCGAAAGCAAGCAGAGCAAACGATATATTTATTGAATAATATGCTATGATCTTGCGCTTGTGTGCAGGGGCCAAAAAAGAGTCATTTTTCCCTTTCTGTCGCACTAATGAGTTATTCACACTTTGCAAGACACTGACTGGGTGATTCAACCTTTAAACGACTCTCCGAATAGCCACAAAACTTCGTAATGGTATTCTGCAGTAGCGATTTCAAAAGATTCCGCCGGACCGACTTGGTTCGATGTTTTACCATAAGACGACCTTCGACTTTGATCTTGCCTTCGCAGGTAGTCCACCTGAGCGCTGAGCATGATAGCTGAGTTGAGAGGCTTGAGAATTGATAACACGTTTGAAGGGGTCCCTCTACTTGAGCTATCCATGCCCTCGATCTTGAGAGGATGAGGATTTCCTTACTGAGCTCAATGCATCGGCACCCTTGATTCTAGCAGCAGCAGCAGGAGCACGAGCTCCCCACCTCTAGACCCAGTGCTGGTCATGCCTGTGGTTTGCTAGATGTAGTCTCTTAATATTCCCTTCCAGTCCCGACCCCATGATTACGGGAATGGTCTGCATATTCCAAAAAAATCCACCCACACCAGTAATAACTTTGGGGCGTGCACCATACTGTGTCTGATGCAGGTGAGCAAGGATCGCACACTATGAAAGCCACGGGCTCC